GTCCTCATGTTTGCTAGTGCCAAACAATTAGAAAGTAAATATACAAGCAGTTTTGTTTTTTTTTATATTTATTGATTTTTCACAGAGAGGAAGGGAGAGGGATAGAGAGTCAGAACATCGATGGGAGAGAAACATCGATCAGCCGCCTCCTGCACACCCCCCACTGGGGATGTGCCCGCAACCAAGGCACATGCCCCTGGCCGGAATCGAACCTGGGACCCTTCAGTCCGCAGGCCGACGCTCTATCCACTGAGCCAAACCGGTTAGGGCAGCAGTTTGTTTTTTAAAAAAATATTTTTATTGATTTCAGAGAGGAAGGGAGAGGGAGAGAGAGATAGAAACACCAAGGAGAGAAAAATCATTGATTGGCTGCCTCCTGTACACCCCCTACTGGGAATGGAGCTCACAACCTGGGCATGTGCCCTTGGCCAGAATCGAACCCGGGATCCTTCAGTCCGCAGGCCGGCGCTCTATCCACTGAGCCAAACCGGCTAGGCCTAAACAGCAGTTTTTATAATTAACATAAACAAGTTAAATATCTAGGAAGAAATCACAGGAAAGATTTGCAAGACACCTGCTCTAAAAGCCACAGGACATCACTGAGAGAAGGTAAAGACCTATCTAAATGGGGAGCTATACCAAGTTCATGGATAGGAAAGAGGCACTAATGCAGAGATGTCGTCTCCCCAAGTGAATCTCCCCAGTGGGGGTCAGCAACCCCGATGCAAATCCAGAAGGCTTTTGTATGGAGATTGACAAACTGGCCCTAAATTGCATTTGGAAGTACAGAAGGCTGAGAGTAACCTAGGCAACCTCCGAGAACAAAGCAGGAGGACTAACACAGCTGGATGGCAAGCCTGACTAAAAAGCTACCATTAAGCCGAAACCAGTTTGGCTCGGTGGATGGAGCGTCGGCCTGCGACTGAAAGGTTCCAGGTTCGATTCCGGTCAAGGGCATGTACCTGGGTTGCGGGCACATCCCCAGTGGGGGATGTGCAGGAGGCAGTTGATGGATGTTTCTCTCTCATCGATGTTTCTAACTCTCTATCTCTCTCTCTTCCTCTCTGTAAAAATTCAATAAAAATATATATATAAAAGAAAAGCTACCATTAATAACACAGGGTAATATTGACACAAGGTCAGACAAACGGACCAAAGAAATTGAATAGGGTGTTCAGAAGCAGACTCGCGTACATTGATATGGCCCCCTATTTAAGACAGAGGTAACACTGCCGAGCATGTAAAAAAGACAGTGAGTGATAAATGGTGGTGAGGTGACGGGATCTCCATATGGAAATGGATAGCCACAAATCCAGCCTCGATATGCCCACATAGTCCATTTATTTATTTTTATTTTATGTATATATATTTTTTATTGATTTCAGAGAGGAAGGGAGAGGGAGAGAGAGAGAAACATCAATGATGAGAGAGAATCATTGATTGGCTGCCTCCTGCACGCCCTCTACTGGGAATATAGCCCGCAACCGAGGCCTGTGCCCTTAACTGGAATCGAACCCGGGGCCCTTCGGTCCGCAGGCCGATGCTCTATCCACTGAGCAAAACCAGCCAGGGCCATAGTCCTTTTATGACTTGATAAATACAGCCCAGCTGGTTTCAGATCCTGCCTGTGGCCTATCAGCTTTGACCCTCTTGCATTTTCCCTCCCCCCAGGACAGAACGTCCGCTCAGCAGCAGCTGTGGATGATGGAAGACACCCTGGCAGGTCTGGGGGGCCCCCAGAAACCACCCCAAAGCACTGAGCCTGACTCCCCGTCTCCTGCACTCCAAGGCGAGGAGTCTTCAGAGAGAGAGGTGAGGTTTGCACACCTCTCCTCCCATCCCCAGCTTCCTGCCGCACCTGCCCCTGGCCAAACGCCTCACCCACTCACCTCTTTCCCTCTCCTTTGACCAACTAACCAACCTCAGACGAGTATCCTAAGCTGCAGAAGCCTGAGTTTCCTTATTTGTTACCTGTGAGCGTAAGCCAGGGGTGTGCTGGACCCACTCCCCCCACCCCCCCACTTCAAGGGCCAACTGCGGGCATCACTTCCCAACTCCATGTTCAGTGACGTCCTGTTGAAATCGACCACAGTGGGAATATTTACACCACGGTAATTGGCAAACACACAAACCAGGGCTGTTTTCTCCCAGAGAGGCATTGCTTAAACATTTACCAGACACTTCTGATCAGAACCCCCGCCTTGCAGAGCTCTGTAAGAAGGAGAAAGGAGCCTGGGGCGTGCCTGACACAGAGTCGGCCCTCGGGGGCCGGAGCCACTATTGTCTCATCTGGGTTAGAGCCGCTGCTTGCCGTGAGCTTCAGAGCATGCACGGAGGAGCCCTAGGTTCAGACCCCAGCCCTGCCTTCTTGGTGACATCAGTCACTGACCGAATTCTCTGCGCGTCAGTAGAATAAGAATAGGTGTCTCATAGATTTATTGAGGGGATTTAATAAAACAGGAGAAGTACTGAGCACCATGCCAGATGCATCATCATTATAAAACCCCCCACTTATAATGCCCCGCCCTGTGCCAGGCACCATTCTAAGGGCCTTACATGAGGTTTCAATCCTCATATAAGAAGTTTAAATGTGGCCCAGAGGGGTCGAGTAACTTGCCCAAGATCACACAGCTAATGAACGGCAGAGCGGAGGTTGGTCATCTGGCTGCTGGTTTTCGATCTTAATCCTCTTGCGCTGTGTCTCAGTTGCCAGGTGCTTAATACGTGGTAATAATAACGATGCTGATAATCATGATTCCTCTTCCCCAACCCATCCAGAGTCTGCCTGAATCCTTGGAACTGAGCTCACCCCGGTCCCCAGAAGCCGACTGGGGGCGGCCCCCCGGGGGGGACAGAGGCCCTGCCAGCCCTCGCTCAGGTGAGCACCCTGGGCCGGGAGGGACAGGCATGGCATCCCCTGTCCTCACCACGTCCCGTTCTGCCCTTCCAGGTGTTGGATCTCCCAGGATCTCCCAGGCTTCGAGCCGCGAGGGTCGCTGCCCTCCCTCCCCACAGCCAGGAGCCAAGGTAGGCAGCCTATTGGGCCCCTCGGCCCATCTTGTAACGTTTCCGTCTGGTCAGCACGGATCACCCGCTCTTGGGGGAAAGGGGGTTCTAAGAGGGGGTTCTAAGGCCACAGCCCAGATCAGAGAGAATGGGACTTAAGAACACTGGGATTACATTTTGTCTCTGCCACCGCTAAGCTGTGTGACTGCGGGCCAGTTACTAAACCTCTCTCTGCCTCCATTTTCTCATCTGCAAAATGGAGCTGATAGCAGTGCCTACCACCTAGAGCTGATGTGAGGATTCAAACTAGATGAATGCCCAGAAAGGGTTGGAAATAGTGCCTGGATATAGTAAGTACTTCATTCATTCATTCATTCATTCATTCATGTACCTATTCATTGACTCAACAAATATTGATTCAATATCCTCTTCACTGTCCGATAAGGTAGCCAGTAGCCACATGTGGCTGTTTACATTTAAACGAAATAAAATTAAAAATTCACTCACAGGCACCACACTGCCATTGCTCAGGGGCAGATAAAACATTTCCATCACTGAAGAAAGTGCTTACTCACAGAGGTGTTTAGGCGCTGAAGTCGCAGGTGTGAGCAAAATGAGAAAAAAAACTTTTTTTTCCTTATGAATCTGGTGTTCTAGTGGATGTCAGAGACAGATCATAAACAGCCAATTTACTGTAGCCCTGGCTGGTGTGGCTCGATGGTTACAGTGCTGGCCCCCACACCAAAGGGTTTTGGGTTTGATTCCCGGTCAAGGGCATATACCTGGGTTGCAGGTTCAGTCCCTGGTTCTGGTCAGGGCATGTTTGGGAGCCAACCAATTGATGTCTCTCTCTCTCTCTCCCTCCTCTCTCCCTTCCACTCTCTAAAAATCATTGGGGAAAAAGTGCAAAATTTTGCAGATTCTAGACCGGTAATATGGTGCATACACTGTGTATTATATAAAATCTCCAGCGATGCCTGGCGCAGCATTCTTAACCAAACACATTAACATTTCTTCAATAAAATGTATGAATATTCATATTAAATGGGATAAAAGCTATAAATAACATCTCATTTAAATGTCAAGTTTTTTAAAATAGCAATAATCTACTAAATGAGCAAGTCAGAGTAGAATAAAAATAGAAATATTAGGCACTTTTTATTTCTTTTTAAAAAATATTTGTATTGATTTCAGAGAAAAGAAGGGAGTGGGAGAGAGAGAGAAACATCCTATATAATAAAAGGGTAATATGCAAATTGACCCTAACAGGGGAATGACTGGTCGCTATGACATGCACTGACCACCAGGGGGCAGACACTCAATGCAGGAACTGCCCCCTGGTGGTCAGTGCGCTTCCACAGGGGGAACACTGCTCAGCCAGAAGCCGGCTCATCGCTAGCCAGCAAAGGATGTCCGACTAACAGCTTAGGCCCTCTCTAAGCTGTTAGTTGGACATCACCTGAGGGCTCCCGGGCTGCCAGAGGGCGCATGCTGGGCTGAGGGACCCGCCCCCCCGCATGAATTTTCATGCACGGGGCCTCTCGTTAATAAGAATCATTTATTGGCTGCCTCCTGCATGCCCCTTACTGGGGATTGAGTGCACAACCTGGGCATGTGCCCTGACCGGGAATTGAACCATGACCTCCTGATTCATATAGGTTGATGCTCAACTACTGAGTCACGCCCGCTGGGCTTGGCAGGACAATTCTGATGCCCACTAAGACTTCGGCAGATGACTGATCCAAATAGGGTGTCACGAAGGCCAGGGAGCTGCCACCTGTTCTCTCCCCACTAAGCTTTGAGGTGTGGCCACTCCAGGAAAAAATCCCAAATTCCCTTTTTTGCTAGACATCTCTCTCTGGAGCCCTCTAGCGGCCAGGCCCTGTGTAAAGTGTTGGGGGCCAGCCACGAATTAGACCTGATGCTGGAGTCTGATGGAGGGAAGGCACGAATGCAATCTTCATACAAGTCTGACAGCAACAAGCCGTTTCACAGGGGGACTGGCAGCATTAGGAAGCCTTTTATTTAAAAAAAATATTTTATTGATTTTTTACAGAGAGTAAGGGAGAGGGATAGAGAGCTAGAACCATCAATGAGAGAGAAACATTGATCAGCTGCCTCCTGCACACCCCCTACTGGGGATGTGCCCACAACCAAGGTACATGCCCTTGACTGGAATCGAACCTGGGACCCTTCAGTTTGGAGGCCGACGCTCTATCCACTGAGCCAAACCGGTTAGGGCTAGGAAGCCATATATATAAAAAATTGAGAGGGAGAGGGAGAGAGAGAGATAGAAACATCAATGATGAGAGAGCTCCCTACTGGAGATTGAACCCACAACTCAGGCATGTGCCCTTGACCGGAATTGAACCCAGGACCCTTCAGTCCGCAGGCCGACGCTCTATCCACTGAGCCAAACCAGCCGGGGCTGGGAAGCCTTTCAAAGGATAGGTAAACTGAGGCCGGGTGAGTGAGAAAAGGTTTGTCCATGTAGGAAAGTCCAGCAGAGGGAACAGCATGGAGGTGACGGTGATGCAGAAACAATGCTGAGTGTATTCCTTTGCTTCAGCCAGGTAGACCCGGAGAGTCTAGGGATTGGTCACCCTTAGGCTGGGGGAGGCTTTGTGTCTGTTGCTGATTGGCTGGTTTTCAGAAACGCGGGGCCAGCCCTGATTGGCTGGCTGGCCGGCTTTCAGAGAAGCGCGGTCGGGGCGATGACCTGACCTAGCAGATTTGAGAGCACTTCCGGTGCTTCCTCGTTGTCGTGGATATCAAACAATCGGTCTTTCCTGGGAAGGGCGCGGTGTGCAGCACGGACGTGGGTGGTGGGGGCTGCTTCGGGGAATCGCTTCTTCCGCTCCCTGGCCGGGCAGTTCCGCGCCTGCCCGGGGGTCGCAGGCGTTTCAGAGCCGAGCAGGAGAAAGACATGGCCACGAGGTGGCAGTAGACACACGGGCTTTGTGTACCACGTTCGGACAGGTTTGCCCGTGGGTGGGAGAAGCCGGGACCTGAGACCCCGAGGTTATTGCGTGGGAGCCACTATCCAATGAGCAAGTCAGAGTAGAATAAAAATAGAAATATTAGGCACTTTTTATTTCTTTTTAAAAAATATTTTTATTGATTTCAGAGAAAAGAAGGGAGTGGGAGAGAGAAACATCCTATATAATAAAAAGGTTTGATTGCCAGATGCATCATCATTATAAAACCCCCCACTTATAATGCCCCTGAGAAGGGGATTAAGGGGCAGGGGGATAGCACTCAGGGCACAGCGGGAGTCCCTGGGAGACTCCTTAGGCGGCAGCTGCTTGGGGTATATTTTCTTTCTCTTTTTCTCCTCCCTTTTTCTTCCTTCCTTCCTTCCTTCCTTCCTTCCTTCCTTCCTTCCTTCCTTCCTTCCTTCCTTCCTTCCTCTCTTTCTTTCTCTCTTTCTTCTAATATATATATAGCCCAGCTAATGTGGCTCAGTGGTTGAGCATCAACCTATGAACCAGGAGGTCAAGTTCAAATCCCAGTCATGGCACATGCCCAGGTTGCAGACTCGATCCCCAGTGGGGTGGGTGCAGGAGGCAGCCAATCAATGATTCTCTCTCGTCATTGATGTTTTGATCTCTTTCTCCCTTTCTATCTAAAAATAAATAAAAACATATTAAAAATGAATAATATAATAAAATAAAAAATACATATATTAGAGAGGGAGAGAGGGAGAGAAAGAGAAACATCGATGTGAGAGCACAACATCAACCGGCTGCCTTCTGCACACCCCCTACCAGGCCTCAAGGCCCCCACGAAATCCGGGCAGGTGCCCTGACCAGGAATAGAACTGGCAACCTTTTGGTGCACGGGATGGCGCCGTGCACCAAACTGAGCCACACTGGCCAGGGCCGCTTGGAGTCTTTTATAGCTGCAGGTTCACCTTACCTCTGGCTAGCAGATGCTGGGCACGGCTTCGCGGAGTATTCAAAACAGGCAGGCTTTCAGTGGCTAAAAATATCTGCCCGTTTGGACGGCTATATTTGAAACAGGTGAAGGTGTAGAAGCTTGGATTGGGCCCTGGCAGGCTCTGGGGCCAGTGGTCTGGCCCGCTGTGAAGAAATAAACGACACGGGGCCATGTGCGGGGGACTGTGCGCAACAGGTGGGCGTGCAACTCAGGATGGGCCAAATCGGAGTAAAACAGTGACTGGCCCCAGTGAGCAACAGATGGATCCAAGCTGTTGCTAGTTTTCAGAATGTTCTAGTTGCAGCCTGCAGTGAGGAGTTCTCTTCCCTTTGTTTTTTTTGTTTTGTCTTGTGTGTTTTTCCCCTTAAACAACACATTTATGAACTAGCAGTTCTGCAGGCTAGAAGCCCGGAAGCAGGGTGCCCTCGGGGCCATGCTGTCCGGCGCTGGGGAGGGATTGCTCCAGGTCCCTTCCTTGGCTTGTGGCCGCACAATTGCAAGGTCACGGCTCTCTCCCGGGTGCAAGTCTGTGTCCCAGCTGCCCCCTTTCCTGCAGGATCACATGCTCTCAGCCGGACCGCCCTTTCCTGCCTGCGGCTTCCCAGCCCTTCTCCTCTGAGTCCCATCTCTGTCCGCTTCAGTGCAAGTTGGCACCGTTTCTGCTGTGACCATGTACTGGACCCGCAGGCCACATGCCTAAATCGCTCAGCAAACGGCTGTCCGGCCACACCCTTGGCGTTCTGTCCAGAACACGTTTCTCCTTTTTGCCGTGTGAACAGGCTGAGCATCGCCCCAGCCTTCAAGTTCCGGGTTCTTTTGCGCGTTATCGCTGTCCTCTTGCATTTTACGTTCTTAAGGCTGAAGTTCACGATCCAGGTGTCCGCGGGGCCGTGATCCCTCTGAGGGCGCTGGCGAAGGATCGGCTCTGAGCCGGTGCCTTGGCCTGTGGCCTCGTAGCTCCGATTGGCACATGGCATTCTCTCTGTGTGCGTCTTCACCCTGGTTCCGAGGGCAAGTCAGAGCTCACCAGTCCTCGCTCAGGCCCACCCGAGCTGATCCTCGGGACAATTTAATTAATCAATTCTATTCCTCCTGTTGTTTTCAAGGCTGATTCAGAGGGGTGTGTGTGTGTGTGCATGTGTGTGTGTGTGTGTGTGTGTGTGTGTGTTGAGGCAGAGTGGTGGGTGGGGACCAGGCCTCACGGCCTCAAAGGCCTTGGCCCCGAGGGTGCAGTGCTTGGGGATCCTGAGAGGAGAGGGAGGGGGGGGCGGGCAGTGGAGGGACAGCCTCAGCTCCGGGCGTAGAAAGAGCCCTCTGAGATCCGGTGGTGAACTTACTGGAAAGGGCAAGGCTGGAGGCTAAGAGGTTCAGGGAAGAGACGACACGGAAGCCAAGGTTGGGGTCCTGAGGCCTTTCTCGTCCTCCAGCCCCCCCAGGCCCGGCCCCGGATGAGTGCTCAGGAGCAGCTGGAGAGGCTCCGTAGGAACCAGGAGTGCGGACGGCCTCTCCCTCGCCCCGCCTCTCCGCGGCTCCTCACTCTGGGGAGGACCCTGTCCCCCGCACGGTGCCAGCCTGACGCGGAGCAAAAGGGTGAGGGGAGCAGAGAGGCGGTGGGGTGGCGGGGTGTGAGGCTCCTGGTGTGAGGCTCGTTGTCCCTCTCCGGAAAATGGGGGTGCGCCCTTCCTACCCACAACTGGGTTTCCCAATTCCACCGGCTTGTCCCTGTGCCAAAGGCAGCATCCGGGCCGCTTCTTGGTGGGGGACGGAGGTGAGCAGATACAACGCCCCTAGCTCACCAGGCATCTAAGGTCTAGATTGCAAGCCTGAGCTTTCATATCATTTACTCTGTGTTGTCAAAGCGACAGAAAGAAAGAAAGAGA